TCTTTTTCCCTGCTTCTGAGCTTCTTGCACTTGTCTTCTAATGTTTTGTTCTACTTTTCATGACCCAATTCATAGGGGTTTATTATGCCCCAAGTTAGTGGCAAGGCATGCCCATTCTCTATAGGTTCAGTATCTTTTTACCTTCTGAGAAGGCGTACCCCTATACTTTCGAGCAGTCACCCTGGTCATCAAAGCTGTCACGCATTATTGGAAAGTCTTTAGGCCTGGACCTAAAGAACTCAGGGTCAGAACCTCTGGTTCTAGACCCTGAGTTGGGGTTGGCAACTGGGGCCCCTCTTGCGGCACTGTTGAACCAGACCCCAGGGAAACCTGGGTTCTCTGGGATCTGGTTCCGTTCTATCATCTGGCAGGCTTTCTGCCTTTACCTGGTAGAGGTCTGTTGTTACTTTGCCTGATTTTTTTTTTGTTTTGATCCATGGTTGCTGCCTGGGCTCAGGGTTCTTAGGCAATCCATCCAGAGGTCATCTGTATTTTTTTTCCTCCTTATTGAATGTTCCTTGATCAATCTGTATCTCTAATTACCTAGGTGTAGTTACAGGATGAAAGCAATGTTCATGGTGTCCCATCATCTCTAGTACCCTGTCATATGATGCTTAGAGACTACTGAATTTTGGCATCCATTGGTGTCTCACTTGTTCCAGCTGTCTACAACTCTGCCGAACATTTTTTTAAATAATTTTTGGCACCTTTGTTTCCTTAGCTTGAATCAATGACCTCTTGTTCTTTAAGTTGCAGGTTTCACGAATTCCTCTGTCACTTCTGTTCATTCCTGTTACTATTTCATGTGTAGTAATTATATCATCTCTTTTTCTTCTTTCTAGCTTGGGTATATTTAACATCTCTAGCTTCTCTTTGTAGCTCATTTTTTTTCAGTTCCAGAAGCCAGTATACTGAAGTGAATGATATGGAAGGAAATGCAGAATAGAACCAGTGAAGAGCAGGGGTGCCATAGGCACAATCAGAGAACACTGTATAAACATCAGAGGTCCACGGTTGTTCAACATCCTCCCAGCGAGCATGAGAAATATTGCTAGAACAACCATGGACATCTTCAAGAGAAAATGGGATACAGTAGTTTTCTTCAGGAAGTGCCGGACCAACCAGGTTGTGGTTGATATGTGGGCCTGCAGGTCGCTCCAAGCAACAGCCTGTTGAATTAACTCTTTCAAGTCAAGGCTGGCCCTGGGCCAGGTTTGAGTACATACAGGGAATTACCAGGGAGAAGGCAGAACCACAGGCAATTAAGACGAAGATGAGAACCAAGGCTGAGACCTGACCCAAGGCCACACAAGGAAACTGAGGCCTGGAAATATTTATGAAATACTGGGCTGCCAGAATCTTTGTAGTCATAGAATCACCACCGAACACAGCATATGATGTACCCCAAGCTAGAAAAAGAGCCAGCCACAAACACCCACCAGAGCCAAAAGAGCAAAAACCCCGCCTCTAGAGAGCATTAAGAGCTCTAACCCAACAACCAGAGAAGGAACCAAAAAAAAAAAAAAGAGCCTTAGAAAAGGAATCCTGGATCGAAGGGGCCACTAAACCAAGAAGAGGGCAGAAAAGAAAGAACAAGGAACAAGCAGGCTCAAGCGGTGCATGAGCAGGCACCGCTTGAGCAGCAGGTAAAACACTGTACGAGACAGCACCAATGTAGTATTGACACTCAATGCAAGCTGCAGCGGTTTCAGCAGCACTGCATAATACAGTGACAGTATTCGACATGAGATGCCAATCAAGAAAAAGTCAAGAAAGAAGAGTGCCACTTGCTTGGTAATGGAAGAAAAATGATGAAGAGAAAGGAAGTGGTAAAAGGAGTGCCAAGAAACATCATACTGCTGCCGAGAAAGTCCAGACACACAGCAGAGAAGGTCGAACCAGAGAAGTCCAGTACTGTATATCATCGGGCCAAGCTTCTGGTAGAGGCGAAGCCACAGAAAAGTGCCCTGGTCAAGCAAACAGCGCTTGAAACCAAGGCCGAGCTAGCCACCAAGTCAGAAGGACTACCTCTTCCTGGTAGGTCTCCAACTTGGCCAAGATCTGGAGCAACAGCTGGACCAGGAAAAAAGAGGTACAGGAACCCCTACCTCAACCAAACCAACCAAAATTCACCCATTATGAGGGGCCTAACAATCAGGGAAGAGCTGCATAAAGAGGTAGCCACCAATGTTATGCCAATGCGAAGAGATCTATATTAGGATGCCAGAATATCTCGCAAAGCCAAAGGAAAATGGCAGCATCAAACAGTCTACTCCATGAAAATGGGAAGGAACTGGGTCAGACTTTCCACAAGAGTACTGGGCATTCCTCGAACATGAAGTGCACAGAGAAACCTAGAGAATCCAGCATTAGAGCTACTCACATCATCCAACTCCAAAGGGTCAATGGGCCAAAGCAACCTTCCCCCCCCCCTCCCCCCAGGTCAGACAATGGACCACTAGGACACAGCCCAAATAGAGCCGGAGCACAGAGCTTGGAGGAATCCAAATCCTCCTCAGAGCATTCCACTCAGCCAAACACTCCCACACCATACTGTGCACCCGATGAAGGATAAGAGACCATCTACCCTGAGCAGCTAGGTTAGAGCTGATAACCAGCCTAGAGCCAAGGCTTCCTTGAAGACGACAAGCAAGGGATGCACCCCAAAAATCCCAAAGAGAAAGCTGGCAATGCAGCAGTCGGCAAAGGGCCAACAGAGTCCGTACCCAGTGGTTGCAGTGGCTGTGAAAGGGACAGCCTCGCAGAAATCAGAACAAACTCTGAAGTCACACCCTGTGCAATGATAGAACCATGTAGGCAAAGTTCAGGCTCCTGCACAACCTCCGAGTGACCTGGCATTTGTCTCAACATCAACAGATGGCGGCCGGAGCAAAGCAGCCAGAGGAATAGAAAGTGATGCCGATTGATAATCCAAAACCACCAGCAAAGTCTGAACCTGAGACAGAACCAACTAAGACTTTTGCCAGTTCACCAGGAACCCGAACCTAGCAAGTTGAGAAAGAACCAGATCCCTGACTAGCACACACACGAATTGACTAAGAGCCCACACCAGCCACTCATTGAGGTAGGACAGAACATGACACTGCTAAACAACGACCTCCTCCTCTAGAAAGAGATGTAAAAACAGGGAGACAAACAAGAAGGCCATGGATGTCATTCAACGATTGGGCCAACTCAGCATGTCGACACATGAGGAGGATGGCATAGAATGTGGGGACCGCCTCCCAGAGCATGGGAACGTAGAGCTTGGGGAAGAGCCACTGAAAGCCACAATTGACATCAAAAACCCCGTCTGTAGACCCTGAGCTGAGTACCTGAACTTTCTCATCGAGCAAATCAGAATACAGCTCAACGAGTGCCACCAACAAAGGCACATGGGCATGGAGCTACAACAAGCCAACATCCCAGGAAAGAGTAGGAGCAAGCAGGCAGTTACTGAGTGGCTCAAAAGGCCACCCAAAAAACACCTGAAACCATGATTGTTACCTCAGGTCACTCGAGTGTGTGGGAATGACAAAAACTGTGATAAGCCCCTAAGGACAACAGTGGTCTGTGCCTAGGTGTCCTGTACCAAGCAGGACACCCAGGCACTGGGAATGTTATGCAGGACTTAAAAATAAACATTAAGGACATGAGCCACCAGTACAACTCACCAGCCAATGTTGCTCCCAACCCAGGTCAAGACAAGATGCCTCAAGACCCCTGATTCACCTAAGTGAGGACCACCTCAAGCAAGGAGGACTTCTAAGGAAGCAACCCCCCCCCCCAAACACATCAAAGAGAATTGTCAGTGCAAGGGCAGCACCAAGGAGCATCCAGGAAAGCACACCAAATACCAGGTTCATGCTACACAACAGTTTGTATTCATGAATATAAACACTACAAATGACAAGGTTCCAAGAGCACTTAGCTAAAAAAAACAATGAAGACTGCACTGTAGAGAGGCGACTCAAGAACCCTACAGGGGGCCTCGTAGCCTGGTGGATAGCGTGCAGGACTCGTAATTCTGTGGCGCGGGTTCGATTCCCGCACGAGGCAGAAACAAATGGGCAAAGTTTCTTTCACCCTAAGTGCCCCTGTTACCTAGCAGTAAATAGGTACCTGGGAGTTAGTCAGCTGTCACGGGCTGCTTCCTGGGGTGTGTGTGATGTGGGAAAAAAAAAAAAAAAAAAAAAAAAAAAAAAAAAAAAAAAAAAAATTAGTTAGTAAACAGTTGATTGACAGTTGAGAGGCGGGCCGAAAGAGCAAAGCTCAACCCCCGCAAAAACACAACACAACTAGTAAACACAGCAGTCACGTGGTTGTGACCGCACAAGCGTAAGAACCGAGAGCTCAAGCCCTTGAAGATTGTGCGGCCCCCTTTCCTCAAAATAATGGGGGAGGTGGGGTGAATGAGCACACACTAGTTTCAAGAGATTCAATTGTTTACATAGTTGGGAGAGTTCATTAGGCAGGTTCCAAGGCTCAAGTCTTTTTTGAACTCAGCAGTTGTTTGTTTTGGTTAGCTAATTTTCTGGATACTTTCCCTGGTGAGGTGATCGACTGTCGTCATCTCCCTGCCCATCTTTTTGGTGAATGCCAGGAACTTGCTCTGGTCCCTGTTATGCCTAAGAACGGCACAGATGATGCTACCTACTAGTTAGGAGCCTCTGAGATAGCTTCAGGGAGCCACAGGGGTTTTCCCCAGAAATGTTGTCACAACCAACATGTTGAACTACCGTACTGCACTGTACGGGTATTTCATTTGTTTTATACAATACAGAGTTAACTGTGTGCACTGTGTTGATCCCCTATTGAATAACAAATTATTAAATTTGAATGTTTTAATGATTTACAGTATTCCTATAAATAAGACACATAACTAAGGAAATAGCGTTCACTCAATATATACAAGGTGAATAGAAATTCACCCGATATATATACAAGCAAGAGGTAAATGTAGATTCGTGGCTTTTCAAAAGCATCAAGTCAAACAACAATCTTTTTATATATAATATAATGGAATTCTTCACATAAGCCTCTGTTTCACATGCAACATTGCCACCTATTAGCATTCAAAACTGTTTACAATGTTCACAAAATTAAATCATGAATACCTGAATGTTGAAAGCGAGTCTGGGACAAAGCCTGTTTAGCTCTCAAAATGCGGTCATCATCATGTGTTGTTAATCATCTAGTACAATACAATCATATAAAGACATACATATTATGTCAACATTTCAATACAATGTTTCCCATATGGTTACAAAAGGTCAATGGTGCCTTCCAGTAGTCATGGAAGGCCATAAAATAATTCGGAGTCAGACAGACTTCAGTTCCTAGGTTCCTCATCAACAAATGATAATGACTTATCTAGGTAAACACAATGATCTTCACTATATTTTGAATACAGACGTACAATTTCACAAGATAAAACAAAGACAAATTTTTTTTTCGAGGGGGGGAGGGTTCACAGGAAGGGCGTCAATTTTTATATCTGTATTTTAGGGGCAATATTCTGACATTTCACTCCCTTTACAGCTTGTAATAACATCAAGGAAGCCCACCAAGAACTACACACACCAATATAAAGTACTGTGCAGGGTATATAACTCTTATTCATAATTCAGAGCAAGGAAAATGTTCAAATATTTGTTATTTAAGTAAGTTATGGGAAGTGTGTGAATATAAAAGGAAACATTTAATGTTATATATATATAGGCAAGGTTCTTTCACATAAAACATTTAAAATTCAAAACTCGTTTCCACAAAATATGGTGGAGGATGGTGTGCTGCTACAAGAGAACCATTTACTGAATGTATCAGAATGAGTGCGTATTAAGGAAGTACTCACTAGGTCCATCAAACCGTGCTTATTATGAATTATACATATGTCATATACAGTACAGTAATTGCACATTAGTGTACTATTACAGAGAAGTATAATGAAAACTTTTTTCTCTATATTTAAGAAAGTATAATAACCAATTTGGAGATCTTTCACAAACTTTAGGGTTAAAAATAATAAACTTCCTGTAAATGTAAGTGCAATTAACAAACTGTGGCATTAGAAAAAATAAAATATAAAAATTAATAGTACAGTAATATATTTTAAAGCATGCAGGCGATGAGTCACAATAACGTGGCTGAAGTATGTTGACCAGACCACACACTAGAAGGTGAAGGGACGATGACAATCGACTTGAGAATGGTCCAGGATGGACCGAAACGTCGTTGTCCCTTCACCTTCTAGTGTGTGGTCTAGTCAACATATTTTAAAGCATGTTGTTTTCTCGTGGTTTTTACAATCCATGGTGGGAGTCTAGAATAATGTTACCCTGAGAGTCTCTTATGCGGGTTCGTCCTGTTTTATAACGAGTTTCTGTCCTTCCATCCCGGTGCACAATCTTGACCGTTCCATCCGGGTACTCTCGCCGTTTTTCTAAAAGGGTGTGAATTTCTCTCTGGCCATTAACAAATTCAAATACTTTGCTGCCATCTGGGTTTGAGCGAACAACAGTACCATCTTTCATAATGCACATTTCGATACCGTCTTGAGAAATAATTTTTCGAGAGTTATCTGTAAAAATAATCTCTGAAGAGCCATCTGGAAGGCGGGTTTCTTTCTGACCGCTGGGAAATACTAACACTTCCTTTCCATCATTGAAGGTTGTATGACTTGTGTGATCAGTTCCATATATATAAACTGTTCTATCTTGGTGTATCTCTTTTCTATCTCCATTATAGTAACTAACAACTACTAATCCATTTAAATAAATTTCCTTTTTATTACCATTTGCATAAACAATTTCTTTTGTTCCATCATCTCTAAATGACTCTGTAAACTCAGAATTCTTATCATCAAGAGGGACAGTAGTATTTTGAGTCATTTGAAGACTTCCTGTAGGCAGGTTAACTTGTCTCATATCTTTGTGATGCTGACAGGCCTCACCTAAATTAATCTGAAGTTGTTCATCAACTAGAGGGGATTGAAAGACTAAGTTGGTTTCCTGGTTACCAGTGTCTTGACCACCTTTACCATGTGTTGTGCTCAACGTACTAGGCTCGCATTTCTCCTCGTTACTGGCCCCAATGCCTTTTCCTTCTATCTTAGCTAGTTTGTCCAATGATCTGGTAACACTATTAACTGTTGCAGCTTTTGCCTTTGGTCTTGGGTTTTCTCTTGCTGTATTTCCCGCTTTATTTACAATAACTTTTTTTCCAGTTAGTTTTATTCGGTCAAGTTCATGCTTAAGTTGCAAGTTTTCTTTCCCCAAACTCTGAAATTGTAACATTTTCTCTTTCAGTTGATTATTTTCGACTTCTAAGTTCTTTATCTTTTCATTTAATTTTTTAACAGTATACTGATGCAAGGACTCTTTCTTTTTTCCATTGTCTTGTAAATCTTGAATTTGTTCTTTTAAATAAACTATTTCCAGTGAATTCTGGTTAGCCATTGTTATGGACGGAGATAGATGTTTAAGCCCTTGTTTTTCTTTCCAAACTGCATTTCGCTCATTATCAATGTATTCCCTAAATTTCTTTTTCTCTCTCGTAATTTCCTCTTGTAATTTATGTCTCTCTTCTGTCAGCTGTTTCTTTTCATCTACTGCCAACTCCTGGAGCTTTTGCAGTTTTGAAGTTTCCTTTTTAAATATCTTAGTTTCTTTTTCTAGTTCACAAATCTTAGCCAATAGCAGAGTCTTATAAGTTTCAATTTCATCAGTGGTAGAATGTTGCTCTTCCTGTATATTTGGACCTGCTGTAGCCTTTCCAGTCTGTTTATGCACTGCTTCATTTCTGTAACTATCGTGAACACGTTCACTGTTGTTTGAGACTTTCTTTTGGTCTGAATGCCTTTTTGAATATCTATCCTTGCCAAATATAGACCATATATAGTTTGATGCACTGTTTTGTTTTTGCTGTGGAGGAGAGAAATGCAATACAGCAGGTTGTAAGCCCGCTTCTTGTCTTGGATCATTGGTAAGAAGCTTACTCGATGCAGAACTCTTGCAAGACTTATCTGTGCTACACTCTTCAGTTTCCTTGTTCACAGATGTAACAGCCATTTTTGAGTGAGGTATTAATGGTTCATGAAGGTTAAGATGTGCTAAAGCTTCCATGTCTAACGTTGTGGCAAGATCACTGTCCTCTTCAGTTAAAGTGGGTGCATCAGTCAAAGTGTCTTCATCAGCTTCTGAAAGTTCATATTCTAATACTTCTACTCCCTCATTCCTGAAGTGCACATGTGGCTTAGGAAGAAAGACATCTTGTGAAAGAGCTGGAGTACTGGTGGCATTAGTGTTTGCATGAGAAACACTGCATGCAAAGCGTGATGCTGCGGCATGAGATATAGATGCATGTTGATCACCAAAGCTTTCAAAAAATGATTCGATTTCAGCTTCTGACACATCGTGCTCCTCTAATTCGATAATAGCCCTTAGTTGTTCGAGAACCTGACTTATATTTAATTCTTTCTGTTGTAGTATATGTGAGGAAAACTCTTCATAGTCCTTAGAAGATTTCAACAATCTGTCAAGCAAATTAAGATTAGTAGTATTGGGTTCAAACAAACATTTCTTTGGGGCCATTTCTCCATCATTGCAGTTTAGTCTCTCTTGAGATGTTACAGGTGGTGTTGAATGCAAAGGGGTAGATGCCATTGAATGTAGTCCGCGCTGCAGCAGTTGCAGTACCGTCGACGAGTTGGAGGAGAAACTTGAATCTGCTGCCAGTTCCTCTAATTTCTCAAATGCAGATAATTCTTCCCTTTCTTTTAAACTCTGATTATAAAGTTCTACATTTGAGACTGATGGATTTGGATGGGTTTCTGGACAAAGCTGAACAAGTTCAAATTCTTTATCACACTTCTGCCATTTTTCATTTGATAAGGCCATACAAGCTATACTATCCACCTCATTCACAAATTTATTGGTCGTCATATCTGGGGGTATCTTTAGCTGAAGACAGTTTATTGGTCTTTTGGTTGTTTTTCTTATATTTTTTCCCTGTGCAGAATTATCAGTAATAGATGTTTTGACATTTGTAGAGTCAGGATTACTAATGATTTTTAATTCCTGTCTTTTAACCGTATTTATTGTATCAGAATTGTTAGAATTTGCTGAAGAATATGATTTTTTCAGCTGCATTGACTTCATGCCAAATCTTGCTGTTCCCTCACCTTTCCTCAGGTACTTATGCTTTGGCTTTGGTTTATCATCATATTCCTCAGCAATATTGCTGACAGGGTTTCTAGCAGGAGAGAGAAATTTGGACACAGTTTTTTCAGAAATGCCCCTTAAAAAGGCAAATTTTTGTTCAGCATTAGATTTGTATTTTTCAGAATGATAAACGGCACTTTCTTGTCTTTCTTCTAAAATTTGGTCAGAATTATTGGAATGAGCACTTGCAATTTGTGTTTTTGTACTCTCATTATTTGACATAGTGTTCATATTACTAGCTGGAGTAATATCTTTTACATTAATGATGTTACTAATTTGACTCCTCAGATCAACTTGTTCTTGATATTCCTCAACAGATTTTGTTTCACATTCTTCTAATGTATCTCTATTTAACGAGCATTCTGGAGATGTTAAAGAAACGCAATCAGTTGTGTTCTTACGTGGGGGCCATGTTGTTAATGCTTCATCAATAAATGCAGTACTTTTGCAGAAATTGATTGCATCCTGTGAAAAGAAAGGTCTTGCATTGCACTTTTTCAAGCATCCCCCTCTCTCTAGGTGGGTGATCTCCCCCTCTCTCTCATCCTCAGTCCCCGAGGTTGAAACTCTTTCCGATTCTTGAAATTTGCTTAGTGCCAAATTACACACATTTCTATTCTCAAATGTGTTTTCAGGGTGAAAATACACAGAATCCTTTGTTGTTTGAGATGAAAAATCACTGTTAATGGTTGGCACTGCAGTCTGGGTATTTCTAGAGGTGAGAGGTGGTGATTCAAGATTGAAGGCTTGGACTTGAGCAAGTTTCTCCCTATGTTTCTCCTGCCACTTTCTTATCTCCTTCAATCTTTCAAGCATAGTTTCAGATGGTGACTGCACATTTAATTCTAAATTCAGTTGTCCTTTCTCTTGATTATTTTTCCCCGTTTCTTGGTCAAACACACCATGCTTATCGTTTTCCATTTCAAAAAGGATACAAAAGACACTAATAAATCTAATGGCATTAAAAATAGATATCATTTATGTCACAAATAAAAAAATAGATTATGAGCCACATCTATGATATGATGCAAGTTTAATTTTTCGTGTACTGTAATAACTTATGAGTGCACACAACATATATAGGCACAATTTATAGAACGGCACAAAATATAGTTTCACAAAAATAAAAGAAATATTGCAACAATTAATTTCCAATGCATTTACTTTCTTTTCATTGTACAGTACAAAATAAGCAAAACTGTAAAGTTTAATAGTTCCAACAAAATTTCTCTTAATAGTACTGTACTATAAATCACTTAAAAGCTTAGGTCATAAATATTTCTCATGGTTGCTAATATAAGCTAGTTTTCTTCATTATACGAAAGAACTCATCTTGGTTAATTTCATTGTCACCATCTCGATCAGCTTCTTCAATCATCTCTTGCAGTTCCTCATCAGTTAGGTTTTCACCCAAGGCTTCTGCAACACGTTTCAAGTTGGCAAAAGAAATTTTGCCAGTGTTGTCATCATCAAAAAGCTTAAAAGCTTTTAAAATTTCCTCCTTCACATCTTTTTCAGCCATCTTAATAGTCATAATATGAAGAAATTCTTCAAATCTGATCTTGCCACTTTCATCTTTATCAATTTCTGCAACCATTTTCTTTATCTCTTCTTTCTTAGGTTCAAACCCAAGTGCTCTCATGGCTACTTTCAATTCTTTGGGGTCAATTGTACCTGTGCCATTGGGGTCAAAGAGATCAAAAGCCTCCTTGATGTCATTCTTCTGTTCCTCAGTGAGTTCGAACTTTGTACTACCAGATCGTCGTTTACCTCCCGCACTAGTTATTGATGGACGCTTGTACTGACTCGACATTTCCTAACACAACCTGAAAAAATACAGTAGTACAATTTCAAAAATGTGTGTTAACATAAACAATGAAATAATTCTTTATTTTCACATATGCCTTATAAATACAATAGTTCCTACCTTAGAGAAAACATGGTTGGAAAATATCCGTAGCATCAAGTGCTCTATTGTCACACTGTACCAAGTTAGTACTTTTTTAATTATTTTACCTTGTATCAGACAAAAGTGAAAGGAATTGTGTTTTATGATCATGGCATCAAAAACAGGTGGAAAAAAATCAAGAGTTAAATGTAATGAAATGCCCCCTTTCTGGTTGGGCCTTAGTGACTCCTTGTAGCTAGTTCACCGAGGTAATTCCACCCAAGTCACATCGACCCTAGGAGTTTATGTTGTCTACTGGAGACCAGAGCCCGAACCTGCCCCGCCACCTCACAGGGGTACAGAGAGCAGGGGATAGTTACAATCATCCTCACCAAGGAAACCTCTAGAAAGAAAGCACAACAAAACAGACAACTGCAAGGTTATCTTGAGATGATTTCGGGGCTTTTTTTTTAGTGTCCCCGCGGCCCGGTCCTCGGCCAGGCCTCCACCCCCAGGAAGCAGCCCGTGACAGCTGACTAACACCCAGGTACCTATTTTACTGCTAGGTAACAGGGGCATAGGGTGAAAGAAACTCTGCCCATTGTTTCTCGCCGGCGCCTGGGATCGAACCCAGGACCACAAGTCCAGCGTGCTGTCCGCTCGGCCGACCGGCTCTGAGCGGACCGTTCACCGAGAGAATGAGGGAAATGAGATGGCAAATGACCATAAATGATCCACCTTGCAGTTAGGTAGAAACAACTTGTTACTGCTAGCAGACACAGACTAGTTTTGAGGCCAAACCACCCAACAGTCTAGAGAGGTCAAAATACAAACCCCAACAGAGATAGCTGGGTTACAATTACCCAATGCTAACCTGGTAAAGATCCGATGAGCCAGATTCAAGCCAAAAGGAGGAACCTTGAACTGGCAAGCCTGATGCCCCAAAAGAAACCTTAACCAGTACTTAATCCTTGAGTGAATATGGCTGTGCCAATACACCTCCTTAGCCAGCGACACCATCCAGAAACCACTCGTAAAACCAGGCACAAAGAGTGAATGACAAAGAATGAAGTTGTTCAAACCCGAGAGATCAAGAATGCACTGTGGGACTTCTGAATCTTGCTTGGGTACCCAGAACAACCAGGATACCTATCAGAAAGCAACTTTGTGAACTTTACCAAAGTCCAGCCAAGTCGCAATGGTGTGTGGACCCGAGGAAAGGACTTCCAATTCATGACCCTTTAAGCTAAAGGAAGGGGAAGGGACCATCTCCTCCAGAAACCCTAGAAAACCACCCAGAAAGCCCACAAGTCATGAAACTGGCAAAATGGACCGGGCATCCCCCACAGCACCGTCAAAGGGTTGAACCATGATAACCTTAGATGAAGCACCCATCCATAAAGCCTGAGAATGATGTCAACCAGAAAAAGCAAAGGCCAGAGGAAGAGCCCAAGAAGCAGGCTCCACTGGGGGGGGGAAGGCTATCCTGGCAAACCACAGGCAAGGCTACAACCCTGGAAGGTTGCCTCTGAGCAGGAGACACAGAGCCCCACCCCCCACCTCTGTGCCAGAATCCAACCACAGGGCAGGAAGAAAGTAGCTGTCATGCTGCCACTGAAAATGCCAAAAAGACAGCGAACACAGGAACAGGGATGAACGAAAAAGAGGAGGTGGACACAAGTGGTGGGGACCAAGCTGAATCAAAAGCCTGAGCAAGCATTGCCCACTAAAAATAAGACAGGCAAGGAAATCTGCCACAACATCTAAAGGAAAGAAGTAAGCCCCTGGGCAAAGCTACTGAAGCCAGAAGCAGAAAAATTGACAGTAACATCTGGCACTGAAGCCAAAACATCTAAATGACCCCAAAGTTGGCCAGAGTAAAGCTCAATCACAGCCTTAATGAGAAAAATGACCAAGTGAGTATGGATCCCGTGAACCTTGGCTGCAGAAAGCCAAGGCAGCTGGACAGAGCCCACAACTCACTCTGCAAGCACCCGGATACAGCAAAATACATGCTAAATCCCCCCAAAAAACCAAGGTTGTCTGCAAGTCAGGAAAAAGCAGAAATCTTACAATGCAACTACCTTACCTTGCGATGAATTCGGGGCTCAATGTCCCACGGCCTGGTTCTCGACCAGGCATCCTGGTTGCTGGATTTAGAAGTTCTAAATGTGACAAAAAAAAAAAAAAAAAAAAGAGACTAGATCCATGAGGGAAGCAGTCATGTACCTGCAGGAGGAACCAAAAAGCGGTGAAAAGGCCAAAGGTAGGGAGAATGAATCCTTTTAAAACATGGACACATCCAAGAGAAAACGCTAGGAAGCACCATGTGGTTTTCTCGTTAACCAAGCAGAAGCTTGTCAATCGAGACATTTTCTACGAGTGGTTCACTTGTTACCTGAAATGCTTGTAGATGGAGCTGCTCGTCACCCGAGGTTCCTCTATTTCCCTTCTTTTAATTTTTTCTCTTCATTTAAGATGCATACAGTGTCACCTCCAAATTCTGGATCATATTCTTCCCAACCCAATCCAGAAGATTTGCATGGAATACAAGATACCCCACCCCCAAAGATTCATCTTTTTTATCACCAAATTTTCAATATTTCATGTAAAACTTAAAATATAAATGACTCATAAAATAGGTTTTAAATATGATCAATGAGTCCAAATGCAACAACTTTTTCTTATAGTCTTGCATTCATCTACAAAATCTTTAAAAACATGATTAAACACACAATATAGAAGTTAGAATTCATACCCTAATTTTTCCCCACACTATGGATGAATTTCAGCGAGCAAAATTTTTATTTCGACTTATCATATGATAGCCAATAACCAAGAGAATCTGTAGAGGGATTTCACTCTCATTGAGAGCATCTCTCAGGATCAAGCCCCTCAAAGTATTTTTCAAACTGCAGAGCCATGACACCTAAATGAGCTAAATGAAGCAGGGCATTGGATGTTCAGCTTTGAATATCCAAAACCCTGTTATGTAGCCTTATTAAGGTACCCCATGGCCAACTATTGACTCCTGCAGTTGCCTAACTCCTAGATGCCTAATAACAGCTACCTGAAAAAAAGAAGCACCAGATGAAAGGAAATGATACCCAAACACTTGTGTCCTACAGTCGAACTCAAACCTGGGACCTCTCGGCTGAGGTCACAGAACTGAGGGACTGCACGGCACAGAACCCTGTTGTGCTGACAATGATCAATACAGTATTTCCAGTACTGAAAAGTAGCTTTATAAAATCACATAAGTACTACTCCACAAATGAGATCACTTTACAATGTCTTACTGTTTTTCAGCAGTATCAGAGTTTGAGCTTTTTTTGCCAAACATACAAGTTATCATAACATTACTAGACCTTTACCTAATCCAAGTGTGCCCACTCTGTATTAGTGGCTTTGAGAGAAAGTGGCTTATTTTGTTAATAAAGAATATAAAATATCATTACAGTACTGTATGTGGTACAGTGTATGAGACTTCATTCATATAAGATGAATGAATGTAACACTTCACATTTACTAACAAATTTTAAAGACTTATTTAACTGCTAAACCAAACCTAACCTAAAAGCTTATCCACAGCAAATTATCACAATTTCAAGTTTACATACACCAACTTTTTGCACATTTATAACAGTACTGTTCAATTATTATACTTTACTACATGCTACAGTAAAAGAATCCAAACAGTTTACTATACCCTAACTGAAACACTCGTGTGACATATATAGCTTCCTAGAAAAACTTTAAATCATTATACACTATAATAATTATGTGACAAGTTGGCTAAATAAAATACAGAGAACATATATGGCCCACAAGACATGATAAAACACCTAAATTATTGAGTGCGTCTTACAATGTACTTTCTGGGAAGGAGATGAAAGAGAACACATACAATACCTACAGTATTAAATGAAAAATATTGAAAGGCCAAGTCCCAAATTTGTGCAGTAAAATAATATACTGGAGTGAAAATATGGTAGGAAATGCACAAGAGAGCTCATGAAGAGTAGAGGTGCCATAAGCACAATCAGAGAACACTGTATAAACATCAGAGGTCCACAGTTGCTCAATATTCTCCCAGTAAGTATAAGAAATATTACCAGAACAAAAGAAAGTCTTAAAAAAAAATTGTTTTCTACAAGAAGAGCTGGACCAAAAAGGCTGTAGTGGATCATCATGGAGTCAAAGTGGCATAGCTAGATTTTCTTCAGTCTTTCTCTTAGTGTGTCCAGCATGGTCAGAGGTGCTTGGAGGCTCCAGCATTCCCTGTGGATGTGGAGGGCAACTGGCTTTTGCTCCACTGGGCTTCTTATTTTTGTAATAGTCTCCCATTTTGTTTCCATATCAGGAACTGGATTGACATGGTGCATATGGCTAGTTCTGTTACCTTTAAATCAATTATTAAACCAACTACAACAACTTAGCCAATCTAATGATATACTGTAGAACGAGTGTTATTATATGGCATACATAGTCCCGATAGAGCACAAATTATTGGGATCCTCTCAAAACTCTCCAAATGTGCTCACTAGAGAGACATCAAATAATATACACGTGGAAAATACTGGAGGACCAGGTCCCTAATCTACACAGTAAAATAATGTACTGGAGTGAACAATATGGAAGAAAATGCAGAATAGAACCAGTGAAGAGCAGGGGTGCCATAGGCACAATCAGAGAACACTGTATAAACATCAGAGGTCTGCAGTTGTTCAACACCCTCCCAAAGAGCATAAGAAATACTGCCGGAACAGTGGACATCTTCAAGAGAAAACTAAATACTGTAGTTTTCTTCAAGGAGTGCCAGACCAACCGGGCTGTGGTGGTTATGTGGGCTTTCGGGCTGCTCCAAGCAACAGCCTGGTGGACCAAACTCTCAAGTCAACCCTGGCATCAGGCCGAGCTAGGGGGAGTAGAACTCCCAGAACCCCATCAAGCAGGTATCCTGGTAGTACAGTCGGGTTCGTTCTCACCGCACAATCAAGAATTCCGGGTTCGAATCCCTGGCAGGACAGAAATAATTGGGCAGCTTTGCTTTCACCTAAAGCCTGTGTTCACCTAGCAATAAGTAGGTGCTTAGGAATTAGTCAGCTTCTTGTGGTGTTGACCCCTGGGCGGGGTCAGTAATTCGGCCCTGGGGGAAGGAGGAACTGCGATATAAGCCTAGCATGTATGAATACACTCTGGCTTCCTGTCCCCCTGAGACAATGAATTATATTATGAACTATATGGTGGTGGTGAAAAAAAAAAAGATTGTCGAAATGTCCGCGTGCAATTTGACCGTATTTTACTGATAAAGAGACAAACCTCTTCCCCAATCCCTCAAATGCCTTCAGAGAAGCCAAGTTCTACAAAATAAGCCTACTCGAATTTGTAAGGCGTTATACGTATTACAGAAGGAAAAGGGGGATGGAAAGGATGGGGCAGATTGTCTTCGTAAAGCTCACAGTTAAAACCTCACACACGTCATTAGATTAGGCTGTGTTCGGTTAGCTCGGGCGAGGTTACGATAGTTTTTAAAACCTGAATCATCTTGGATACCAAGTGACCATCACCACTGACAGCTGGCCTGGCCTCTTTGCTACACCCTCCAGCCGGGTTACCACAGGGCCAAACCACAGGGCCAGGCCACAGGGCGCAGGCCACAGGGCGCAGGCCACAGGGCCAGGCCACAGGGCGCATGCCACAGGGCCAGACCACAGGGGAACACAAGGGGAACACGCACAAGGAGACACAGGTGGAAACTGAGTGCCCAAATGAGCCACAGAGATATTAAAAAGAACTTTTTTAGCGTCAGAGTGGTGGACAAATGGAATGCATTAGGAAGTGATGTGGTGGAGGCTGACTCCATACACAGTTTCAAGTGTAGATATGATAGAGCCCGATAGGCTCAGGAATCTGTACATCTGTTGATTGACGGTTGAGAGGCGGGACCAAAGAGCCAGAGCTCAATCCCCGCAAGCACAACTAGGTGAGTACAGGGCCAGACCACAGGGCCAGGCCACAGGGCCAAACCACAGGGCCAAACCACAGGGCCAAACCACAGGGCCAGGCCACAGGGCCAGACCACAGGGCCAGGCCACAGGGCCAGGCCACAGGTATAACCAATTAACAGTGGCAAAGCTTCACCTTGGGGCCCATTAACAACCACTACCACATAACCATAACAATTACAGGCACCTGCACAACCAATTTTATATCCAGTGAAGGCTCGTGAGGGGAATACGATTTGAATTGATATGATTTGTACATACAAGTGTTGTTTGGCGGTAATAAATACCTGGTGTAGTGAGGGGGAAGGAGTGTAGGAGTGTCAGTCAGGAGGTGTAGCCAGCGTGCGTCCTCTCCCACGGCGGCTACACACACACTGACGCGGGCCTCCGCCACCACCTGCTCCAACCCGTCTATAAACCACCTCAAAATATGTAGGAGTTCGTCATCACTATACTTGAAATAACTCTAATCTGTTTTACCTCCAACCTAACCTGAACTACTCCTTGTCTAGTCTATCTTAACCAAATGAAAATAAAAGATAAATGTCCGTGTTGGGAATATAGTATATGGTGAGCTCTGGGGTGAGTGTGACGTCATAGGTTTGCCTCTGCGGAACTTTTTGGATTCTATTGCAAATATGCCTATTTAAACTCTGTCAAAAACCGCTTTATTTAAACATGCAAATGTCTTCCATATGGTATCAGTCAAAGAAAATTAAAAGGTATATTTCTCAACCTTTATCATCAGTGATGAGCCCTTTAATTCATACGCTAAGTGAGCTGATATATTTATATATATTTATTTATTTATATACAAGAAGGCACATTGGGTTTATGAGAGTACAGAGCATTGAAGTTTTACATTCTTGTAAAGTCACTGGATAAAATATGGATGAAGCTTCGTCTCAATGGTATTGACCAATGTTAACATACAACCCGTATACAGCATATACAACAAGTGCTTATACAACTTGCAACTATAACTTATACAACTTATACAACTATATACAAGTGCTATACAACTTGCCCGAAACGCATTGCGTAATAGTGGCTTTAGGCATTGTATGTACTAGATCTATCTATATATCAATCCATTAATGTAACATCACTTGTATGTATATACCTTACCTGAATAAACATCTGAATCTGAATCTGAATCTGCTTCGCTCACGTCCTCTGTTCGAACCACTATTTTATAAACAGCCCGTCCTCATAAACCAGCCCGTCCGCCAAACAAAGATCCAAAAGTGATTCCATGCACCCGCCAAACCCCCTATTTATGAATGAAAAGCGGTTTACACACGACTCACAACTGCTGACGTTCGAACATATCAAACCTATATTGTTTGCTGACGATACTACCCTTATCTACTCAAACCTCAACCCACATACACTAAATAATGTTGTGAATAATGAATTAAAAAAAGTCCACTTATGGATGTCAACGAACAAACTAACATTAAACATCGAAAAGACTTACTACATCTTATTTGGAAGCAAATCATCAAATGCAATTCAGCTACAGATAGACAACATTAACATCAGTAATAAAAATGATGGCAAGTTTCTTGGCCTATTCCTAGACAAGAGACTCAACTTCAGCACCCACATTCAACACATAACTAAGAAAGTCTCTAAGACAGTTGGTATACTCTCCAAAATCAGATATTATGTTCCTAACTCTGCTCTCCTCTCACTATATTATGCACTAATCTACCCCTATCTTAATTATGGTATCTGTGCATGGGGGTCTACCACTGCAAACCACCTTAAGCCCATCATCACACAGCAAAAATCTGCTATCAGAATAATAACTAACTCTGCTTTCAGACAACACTCAGCTCCCTTGTTTAAATCCCTAAACTTGCTAAATATTAACTCCCTCCACACATTCTCTTGTGTCAACTACATTTACAAAACCCTGTTCTTAAATGCAAACCATGCTCTGAAACTCTCCCTGGACAGATGTAATAGGACCCATTATCACCACACCAGAAATAAATATCTCTTTGATATCCCCAGGGTCAAACTTAATCTGTGTAAACACTCTATGCAAATTAAGGGACCTAGTCTATGGAACTCACTCCCTAGTGAATTGAAAAACTGTAAAACTTTTGCCTTATTTAAAAGCAAAACCAAAAAGTACCTAACTTCATCTATTTAGTTTCCTACACTGAGCTTTAAATTTGCTCTGTACCTAGTGTTACCCACTCTCCTAATTTTTATGTAATATCAAACAACCTTATCATTGTGTTCATTGCTGTCTTCTTTTATGTGCTAGCCATATGCTGTAGTGTGACTACCAATTTTTGTCAACTACCATTCAAGCTGTCATTGCAATCAATCTTATATTTCTGATCAGGGGGAGAAAGATACTGGCAGTATGGGGCTTTAAATTTATTGAAGATTAAATTCTGCAGAACATGTAAATATATAAAGTTTCAAATATATAAAGTAAGTAAATATATAAAGTTTATATTAAACACGGTTTATATTATAGACTTATAACAAAGATTATATTATATTAAACTTAATATTGAACATGTAAATATATAAAGTTTCAAATATATAAAGTAAGTAAATATATAACGTTTATATTAAAATATATAAAGTAAATATATAAAGTAAGAATTAACAGTAACAATTCCAAGTCCGAGGACTAGATTTAACTTAAAAGGTACACCCGTAGTAAGTATGAGACCTTAGCCTATAGTGACATGGAAACTAATTCTGCAGAAACCTAAAGGTTAACTGGTACTAGAATTAAGGCCGAGTGCAAATGTGTAGTAATTATATAACACTAGTAATTATATAACCTATGCCTATTTATACACAATATGCAAATATATATTAATATTAATTTATACTTGAGAAAATTCCCGTTTTGAATGAACAGCATATTAAAATTTATGAATGCGTCTGTGGGGTTGACCGCTGAATGTAATGGACTTGAGTCGAGGATGGGTTGCATAAACAAAGGCTAAAAGTGATTCCATGCACCCGCCAACCCCCTGTTTATGAATGAAAACGGTTTACATACGACTGATTTTGTTCGAACACTTCCGGAACAAGTGCTTCGCTGACGAATTTTGTTCGAACCACAACGCTGTAAATGCTTCACCCACGTACCAGCCCGTCCTCCAAACAAAGATCCAAAAGTGATTCCATGCACCCGCCAAACCCCCTGTTTATGAATGAAAAGCGGTTTCACACGACTCACAACTGCTGACGTTCGAACATATCCGGAATAAGTGCTTCACTGACGAATTTTGTTCGAACCACAACGCTGTAAATGCTTCACCCACGTACTGCAAATACAAATAATCGCCAACAGAACCTAAACCCCTGACCTAACCTAACCTATGCCTATTTATACACAATATGCTAATATATTATAATATTAATTTATACTTGAGAAAATTCCCGTTTTGAATGAACAGCATGTTAAAATTTATGAATGCGTCTGTGGGGTTGACCGCTGAATGTAATGGACTTGAGTAGACAATGGGTTGCACGTACTACAAATACAAATAATCGTCAACAGAACCTAAACACCTAACCTAACCTAAGCTTATTGTGCTCCCTATACTCATCCTATGAGCAATAGCTTATTGTGCACCCCATATTCATCCTATGATTCAATTTCTTTCTTTATTATGCACCCCATACCCATCCCGTGGGCGGTGGTGTAAAGGATTACAGAGGCACATAATCGGTTCAGGAACTGAACCCTCTAGTTCGTTTAGCTAAGCAAATAACAATGTTTGACGCTAGTTACAAAATTATCAATGTTGTATACACATGTACACACCCTCATTCATACATGTACATATATATATATATATACGTATACACATATACATACACATACATATCTAATCACCCACACAATTACACACATCAATAATCTTTGTGTCACAAGTGACACAAAGAGGTGTCACAAGTGACATTACAAGAGGCTCACAACAGTCACTATACGAGGCACTTTACATCTATAGTGAGTCACACAGTTACTAGTCTTGCTGCACACCCACCCAACTGGGCGGCAGCTTTGCAGTCATGTGCATGCATTACCTACAGTAAGCAAATTTTGGATACTTCGCTAAAATTTCGGGGAGCACATCATTATGAATGAAGTACTTACACATTTCTTGGACACTACTGATGGTGTTATCTCTAAATTCCGCAATTTTTTCACATTGCATTATATAATGACGCAAAGTAAGCGAATAGTTCTGCTGACAGAGTTTGCATTTAGTCAAATCTACATCAGCAGATGTTACAAACTCCCAGAGGTACTTGTAGCCGAGCTTAAGCCTAGCAGTGGTAACATGTAGAAGTCTGCTAAGATTATTGGATGACCCATAGACGTGCGGTTCTTCATGCATAATAGAATGATGATAGATGGAGTAACTGGTGTGAATTTCACTTTGCCTCAAGTCTCCGAAATTTAGTTGATGTTCCTGGGATATTGCTGCCCTCAGGCTGCTCAAAGGCAGTCCAAGTTGGTAATCAATTCCCTCTTTACGAGGGAATTGATTAGCCAAGAATTTTGCCTTGGCTAGCTCATCAGTTCTATCATGCATTCGGAGACCAATATGAGAAGGAATACACAGGAGACAAACTCTGACTATCAAACTCATTTATTACTTCATTATATCTGTGTCTAGCTTCAGAGATAAGCACGTCACAGTTATGCCTTGGGGAGCTGAGGGCAGTCAAACCTATGAGCAATAGCTTATTGTGCACCCCATACTCCTCCTGTGAGCGGTAGAGCAATAGGGATACAGAGCACACAAGATACTAATCATATCTCGAGGTGGGGGTTAGTATTGATCCAGCCTCTATACGTCAGACTACTCTATGTGGATTATTGATCCGTGGTTATTACTGTGATGATGCTGATCACAACAGTGATTATAATGATAATAGTTGTGATTACAATGATAGTGATGATTACGATGATGGTGATATACGATGATTGATGGTGATGATTATGGTGGTGGTGGTGATAGTTATAATAATGATGATTATGCTTATTGTGATAATTATGGTGATAGTGATGATTATGATGATGACTGTTGAAATGATGTTGATGGTGATTACCATAGTTATAGTGTGCTGATGGGGAGGATTATATTATAATAGGGGATCCTGACGGCTGCCTGGACAGCGCTCAGGGTTCTTAGTCCTGAGGTTCTGGGTTCGATCCCCGGTGAAGGCGGAAACAAATGGGCAGAATTTCTTTCACCCTAATGGTCCTGTTCAACTAGCTGTGCTGCCCTGAGAGTTAGACTGTTTCCTGGGTGTGTATGAGAAAATTAGGATCATTAAAATATGATATGATGCTGATCACAGCAAGCTGACTAACTTTTGGGTATCTATTTACTATTAGATATGATAGTGAAGAGAGACACTAGGTGATAGGAAACGGGTCTACTTATTTCTGCCCTATCCGGGGATCGATCCCGGGATCTCCGATTGTAAGTAGAGAACGAACCCTACTGTTCTACCGAGACCCTCCTTACGTCAGGGTTATAATTGAAAAATATTTTTTGTGGTAAAAGATTTAAAATACATCAATAATATGTCTTTATTTTCAGGTATAAATAGTTAGTTTATTACCGTGTCAATTTATACACGTATTACGTATAAATTATACACCTTTCCTCACAATCCCAATGTACCTTCTTGTATATATATATATATAAATAAAATAAAAATAAAATAAATATCTTCTTGCGCTCGTAGCCCCCCGGCCTGTTTGCACATTCTGGGAATCTCTGTTGTTGTTTAGCCCAAGTTGGGAGGTCCTCGTGTGCTCCAGCTGACAGATATATTCCTCCGCAAAAAGGAGAATATATTCTCGCCATATTCACCCAGTTTGGTGTGGGAGGACACACCCGGACATAGTCCCGTCGCTGGCCACCATACCCACAAGAGCAGGGACAACTCAGGTGGCCGTCTTGCCCCACTGTGACAATGGAGAAGGAAGTCCTGGGCCAGACGGCCAAGTATCTTCAAGCAGGACGACTTAAGATGTCACAGGAGAGTAACAAGGTGAGAGAACCCGGAGTAGGGTCCAAGACCTGGCCACAGGGTCCAAGACCTGGCCACAGGGGTCCAAGACCTGGCCACAGGGGTCCAAGACCTGGCCACAGGGGTCAAAGACCTGGCCACAGGGGTCAAAGACCTGGCCACAGGGGTCCAAGACCTGGCCACAGGGGTCCAAGACCTGGCCACAGGGGTCCAAGACCTGGACCTGTGCGGTGAAGGTCTCTTCCAGGAAGGTCTTCCAGTCTCCTTGGTGTAGTGGCAAGACACTCGCCTGGCGTTCTGCGAGCGCTTTGTCATGGGTTCGTATCCTGGCCGGGGAGGATTTACTGGGCGCAAATCCTTAACTGTAGCCTCTGTTTAACTCGACAGTAAAATGTGTACTTGGTTGTAAAAACGATTCTTTGCAGCGGGGATCGTATTCCAGGGACCTGCCCGAAACGCTACGTGTACTAGTGGCTGTACAAGAATGTAACAACTCTTGTATATATATATATATATATATATATATATATATATATATATATATATATATATAAAAAAAAAAAAAAATGATGTATGTTGCATCTTCAAAATGTGTTACTGTAATCAAACTGACTAATTTTTTTTTGTTACCTGACTAAGGTCAAAATGGCTATGCTGATATGTTTATGCTGAAGATTTGTAATATTTCAGGTTGTTATAGAACTGGGAGGAAAGAAGATTGCTGGGTTTGTATGCGGGACTTTGCATCTTGTCCGCTCACAGAAGGCTGAACTAGAAGGCCGTACCAATCTAGAAAAATGTCTCACCCAGCACTGGCTAACTTACTGTACAACTGACCTCTTCCATTGTCCCACCTATGAGGTAAATTATTCCATGAACTGCAAACCTTTCTCCAGGCTTGAATAATTGAATATACTGTATTCTATACATAAGTATCAGTGAAACAATAATTATAGACAAGCCAGCCACTGTATTGTTCATCATTAGTTCTTGCTTGTCTCTACCTACTGTGAATTTTAATAATTTTGAAAACAAATACGACATTTTATTTCAGTGAGTGTCCCCCTTTAGCACTGCTTTATAATTGAACTTTTTCAAGACAACGTTGTGAAGTCCTTTGAACAATTGTCAAGTCTGCCACAGCCTAAACCAGCCTTGTTTGTTCATGTTCATGGTGTTTGAGCTGCTCCACCTTCAAATATTGTACACTCTTTGCACTGCTCTTTTGCCATCCATTTGTTGTATATATTCTACATAACCAAACCATTTAAATAAACTTCATATATTAATAGTGACCCTGGAATGCCAGCCCTGTAATTGCAGGGAAGGTAATGAGGTGCTTAACAGAAAGTGGAATTTCTGTATACTCAATGCTCTTATTTCTTAATAAAATTTACTATCAAATTCACAAGAAAACAGAAAAAAAGGTATGGTCTGCTAAATATTACTTTATGAAGTCAAGTTGTATTTTGCGAATACCACAGGGGCAATTGGAGTGGGAAATAAAGTACTGTATTTTAGTTACAGTATTTGGATGGATTTGTTATTAAGAAAATCCAGAATTGAAGATTACGATATGCAGAACAGTATGTATTGGAGATTTTTTTTTTTTTTTTGTAATATGTTGGCAAGTTCGAGAATGTGGAAAGTGGTCACTGATCTATGGCAGTCTTTGATTCCACACATACAGATGTCCCTCGATTTGTGCTGGGGTTATGTACTGTACCTGCAAAAACTACATCAATAAAAATATTGCACAAATCAAAGCTAGGACTAGGTTTTAACATCATACAGTGCATCCTCACTAACGAACCCCATTCTAATGAATTCCTGGATGATCTAAACCAATTGTATTTGGTTCATATTGTTGAATGGATCAAAGAAATGTTTAAGTGAAGATTGTTTGCCCAAGCTTGTCATTATGCAATATTGTGTCAACCAATGATTGTCACATAGTTGATATGGAATGGTTCATGCCTTGTTCAAAATGTTAAATTCATAATGAATATATAATTTTGTTCAATATTGTATAGACGAAGAAAGATGGGATAGGATTGATTTGCGCGTCTAAATGTGCTTCAAGGTTATTATGAAGATATTTTACTACACTACGCTCCTGGTAAGGTTACAAACCTTAATATGTGTAATAGTGGATGCAGGTCCTTAAGAGTTTTTCATGTGGTTGCCTGGGTTCTGACTGGTCAAATGAAATCCATTATAAAAAGAATTGGTCTTGCCCCATATAGTTCATTCAAGTGAGGATATAATGCTTCCTTCATTTTCCAGCCACAAATACAGCAGGTAATGAAGTCCAGAATACTTGGAATGTACAATGATTGCATTAATATAACCAAATTGCTTTATAAAATATAAGAATATAGTAAGTGTTGAAGCCTGACACACTGCTGAGATTGTGGTGGAGAATTAGTATTGTTTTGTGGGTTAATAGCCAGGTCCCAAATCTACACAGTAAAATAACAACATACTGGAGTTAGTGATATGGAGGAAAATCCAGAATAGAACCAGTGAAGAGCAGGGGTGCCATAAGCACAATCAGAGAACACTGTATAAACATCAGAGGTTCATGGTTGTTCAACATTCTCCCAGCGAGCATAAGAAATATTGCTGGAACAACCGTGGATATCTTCAAGAGAAAACTAGATTGTTTTCTAAAAGAATTGCCGGACCAGCTGGGCTGTGGTGGATATGTGGGCCTGCTGGCCGCTCCAAGCAACAGCCTGTTGGATCAAGCTTTTACAAGTCAATCCTGGCCTTGGTCTGGCTTGGGGAATAGAACAACTCCCAGAACCCCATTCAGGTACAATTCAGGTTCAATAACTTTTCAACCTATATATAGCACAACCATAATTTTCCCTTTCACTTCAGAACTTGGTATAAAAGTACTAGCCTGCATACCACTGATTCTACAGAATCCATTAATGTTTAAATTAATGGTCCCTTGTACTGTATTAAGCGATGTCATCCTAGTTATGTATTTAATTTTTAGAAGCAAAAAGATGAAAGAAATACAATTTGTACTGTAAAAAAAAAAGCAAGCTGCTGGCAAATACACTAACAAGAGTGTCATCTGCATATTTTTATAATTTTACTTTAGAGTATATATTACCTATATAGTTACCAGAGGGATGGATTACTTTAATATCTACCAAAATTTGATCGACAAACATAGTTTTTAAAATATGTTCGGATGACACCACCTTAAGTCGTGTACTCGTAGGAAGCTCGTGTATTGATTGTTTTTGCATGACAAGCTTGTATGTCTTTTATTTGTAGCAATTTAAATTGTTTTCATTGCAGGCCCTTAATGGATGTCTACAATACATTAATACAGAGTTGGCCAATCATTCCTACCTATGCGGCTACACACCAACAGTTGCCGATATAGTAATGTTCCTTGCACTTCATCCCTTCATATCTAAGTGGACCTTCCTTCAAAAGGTATTACAGCAGCAACCAGCCACAATTAATCTGCTTACCTTGTTATCCCCCACTGCATGAATTTCAGTGTTTGTGTATGAGTAAAATATATTTTGTTAAAACAGTTAAAATGGTGTAAATTTCTTAATATACTTTATTCGTCATGTGGGTTTGGTGTTGACCAGGAAGAAACTTGTTATGCGAGACCTTAAGAAATTGAACTGCTAATGGCAGTTTGTATACCTTTGCTTATTTAAAAAAAAATTGAGTTGAATATATGCCAGAAAAGGATTTAAACTGATTGCAAAGGAATTCAAACATCAATAGACCATTATGTCTAGACAAGGCTATTTGTTTATTTAACGAACACTGTATAATGCAGATTTGAAGAGAGAGCTTACCTAGTTTTTTTTTAATGCATTCGTGGTATTTCCATTGTACTGTATTTTGTAAAAAAACAAATATGTTAGCATTATAATATTAAATTATTAGTTAGGGTTTTGCTTATACTGTACAATGAATAACATCTTGCAGCGACCTGTCACATTAGCCTAAGAGGAGGAGATAATTGTTGTACAAGCAATAAACTGAGCACAGTGAAATAATAAGTGTACAGTTCTTGTCTAATAGTACTGTATTAATATCTTAAAGTCAATACCTACCGAGGTTACTGCATGTTTTGTCCTCTTCTGGCTTTGCCTTACGTGTTGATAAATTGAGGATTTCTTATATTATTTACTTAAGTGTTGAGAAGAGCTATTACTAATACAGTAGTTAAATATATTCTGCAATTTAATTCCTATGATTTTAAGGAGACTGAATCCCCACAGGTATTGTACTAGCACTGTATAATATAGAAATGATTTTCAAATGTATTTTATTCTACACACAAGTGTATATACACATATATATATATATGACAATGTCAGACCACGGAGGAAAAATGAAACAGGAAATTTCCTTAAGTACTTTCGTATATTAAATACATCTTCAGAAGGTCCTTCGACCTTCTGAAGATGTATTTAATATACGAAAGTACTTAAGGAAATTTCCTGTTTCATTTTTCCTCCGTGGTCTGACATTGTCACATTCTTAATCACGTGTTTATTTTCGTGATATACACACATATATATATATATATATATATATATATATATATATATATATATATATATATATATATATATATATATATATATGTCGTACCTAATAGCCAGAACGCACTTCTCAGCCTACTATTCAAGGACCGATTTGCCTAATAAGCCAAGTTTTCATGAATTAATGTTTTTTCGTCTACCTAACCTACCTAACCTAACCTAACCTAGCTTTTTTTGGCTACCTAACCTAACCTTACCTATAAATATAGGTTAGGTTAGGTTAGGTAGGGTTGGTTAGGTTCGGTCATATATCTACGTTAATTTTAACTCCAATAAAAAAAAATTGACCTCATACATAGAGAAAAGGGTTGCTTTATCATTTCATAAGAAAAAAATTATAGTATATATATTAATTCAGGAAAACTTGGCTTATTAGGCAAATCGGGCCTTGAATAGTAGGCTGAGAAGTGCGTTCTGGCTACTAGGTACGACATATATATATATATATATATATATATATATATATATATATATATATATATATATATATATATATATATATATATATATATATATATATATATATATATATATATATATATATATATATATATATATATATATATATATATATATATATATATATATATATATATATATATATATATATATATATATATATATATATATATATATATATATATAATAGTTTTAGTATATTTTGGTAGCAGTCTTTCCTGTAGACATATATTATTAAATATGACCGAAAAAGTAAGATTAATAATTCTAACACGAATTTTCTCTATCTTTCTTACATTTCTTTTCACTGTTGATGGCAATTCAAAGATCAATTCTCCAAAATTCATTTTTATTTCTAGTCTGACGCGACACTTGAGCGCGTTTCGTAAAACTTATTACATTTTCAAAGACTTTAGTTTACAAACACACAACTGAAACTGAATAGAGGTTACACATCTTCGAGGTTTATATCTACATTTGGGTGAGGTGGATGAGGTGAAAAACGAACTTTCAACAATGGGTATTCAATGGGTATTAAATTCCAACACAGGACAGAACACGAAACAATGGGTATTGAATAGAAGTAATTGTAGAAAGCCTATTGGTCCATATTTCTTGATGCTTCTATATTGGAGCGGAGTCTTAATACCCATTCAATACCCATTGTTTCGTGTTCTGTCTTGTGTTGGAATTTAATACCCATTTGAATACCCGTTGTTGAAAGTTCGTTTTTCACCTCATCCACCTCACCCAAATGTAGATATAAACCTCGAAGATGTGTAAGCTCTATTCAGTTTCAGTTGTGTGTTTGTAAACTAAAGTCTTTGAAAATGTAATAAGTTTTACAAAACGCGCTCAAGTGTCGCGTCAGACTAGAAATAAAAATGAATTTTGGAGAATTGATCTTTGAATTACCATCAACAGTGAAAAGAAATATAAGAATGATAGAGAAAATTCGTGTTAGAATTATTAATCTTACTTTTTCGGTCATATTTAATAATATATAATAGTTTATATATAAGAGGTGTGTACTCGCCTATTTGTGCCTGCAGGATCAAGCATTGACTCATAGATCCTGCCTATCTAGCCACTGGTTGTTTATAGCAATGACTCCTGTCATGTTTCCCTATCATGTGTGTGTATATGTATGTATGTATGTATGTATGTATGTATGTATGTATGTATGTATGTATGTATGTATGTATATATGTATGTATGTATGTATGTACAGGTATATGTATACAGTATATATAATTTCAGAGCAGTATTCTTTTGCTGGGCACAGTAGACTTTATTGTAGATAAATATGTGTACAATCATGATAAAGTATATTATTTATTAATTTTTTCTATTTTATCAACAGGAGCAGTACATGAACATCTCCAGATGGTTCGGTTCTATGCAAAATGACGATGATCTTCGTAAGACATATGCACCAGTTCAGTTCTCTCGAACATTGTTGTATGAAGGAACTAGCAGGCCTCACTGATACTGTTATCTCTTTTAAACCAATAACCAAAATTTTTTATAAATGGAAGATATTGAAAAATGATTGTAGTGTTTTATTAATGTGAAACCACAAAGCTACATAATTTTTGTTTAATCAAAATGGTATTCATGATGAGAAATCATGTTATTTTGAATCCTATGTATTGCTTAAGTCTAAGCATATTATAAATGTGTCTTTAAACTAAATATTTTTTTCTTATGACCTCACTTCATCTGGGTACTGACCTTTCAAGGGCTGTCATTATAGATAAATCTTCAGTCAGTGCTGTTTAAGTTGCTTTCCTCGTAATATACTGTATGTAGACCTATAAATGTATTAATTTTTTTAATTATGATCTTGGATAAATGAATTCTGGTCTTTACTGCATCATAATGTTCCTTCACTTGAAATTGTCATCACTAGTGTAAATTTGTATACAGTATTTTTTTATACAGTGGGGCCACGATTTACGATGGTAATCCGTTCCCAGAGACGTATCGCAAGTTGAAATATCGTAAGTCGAAAAGATTTTTCCCATAAGAAATAAGGGGAATTGAATTAATCCGTTCCACACCCCCAAAAATATTAACTTAAAAATACATTTTATACGGATGACATTTTTTTTCTAACTATAATACAGTACATATGTTTATCTTACCCTTATGGAGGACTCTTGATGGCTTATGGAAGATGGTGATGAGGGGGGAGGAGGAGAGGTGTTACTGCTTGGAAGGGGAGTCCCCTTCCATTATAACATCAGGCAGTGATGACTTCTGGGATACACTCTCTGGCATGTTTTGCCTGCATACCACTAGGACCTGCTTGTCTTACTAAGAATGTCTTAATGAAACTCCCCCTACCCTTCCTACAGTTTCCTGTAGTTTTTCCTTGGATTTTAACACTTGTCTGTAGTAAGACATCACATTGTCATTTAAAGGTCAATGCAATGGCCTGCTACAGCTTTATCTGGGTAAGTTTTTTCAACAAAACTTTGCAATTCTTCCCATACTTCACACATTTTCTTAATGAGGAAGGGACATCCTCTACTGCCTCTACTACAACTATTTTCTTAAGTTGAACCTTACCACTGACTTTCATGGGACCCATGGCATGATATAGAATAATTAGTTTTATGTTCAAAAAGCAAAAAATTGCCAAAAATACGGATTTTATATAAGCGTGATCGTCACTAAGCGGGAGACTCCAGTAAACGTAGGCAGGTCGGCCCGCGCAACTGGGAACCATGTAATGTGGGTGATGCATTTACAGCGTTGTGGTTCGAACAAAAGTCGTCAGTGAAGCACTTGTTCCGGAAGTGTTCGGATGTCATCAGTTGTGAGTCGTGTGTAAACCATTTTTCATTCATAAACAGAGGGTTTGGCGGGTGCATGGAATGGACTTTGGCCTTTGTGCAGCCCATCCTCATAAACAATGTCAATGAAGTTGAGCACTATTGGATCTGGAGAAAAGTGAGTGCGTGTGTGTGAGGGAGCAAGGGGGGGGAAGGTTACTGACCAATGTGCATGAAGTCGATACCCTTTAATAGGTAGAGAATAAGCAGAAACCTATTAGCTGCCTCATGTGTTTGTGCAATTGGAAAACCAGCATTTTCCAATGCTGGTCTTTGGGTAGTTGCAGGTAAGTTAATGAACTCTAAAGAAAGATTCAAGAGTTATACAGTTTTGTATTCATCATATACAATGTCGAAGTAAGTAGTACAGTACTGTATTTAGATGTATAGATTTCTTTAAATTATTATAGGATAGTAATAAAGGTTAAAATACCCATATTAATGGAGACACTACAATGCTGTCAATAATAGTGCAATAAAATCCAAGAAAAAGGTTGATAGAAATATATATAATATTATAATATATATTTCTACCAACCGTTTTCTTGGATTTTATTGCACTTTATTATTTGTCGAATGGCCAATAAGTACAGAAACAGGAGTTTGGGTTAATATATTACTATGGGTATGCTACTTTCATATTTATTAAAGAATTTATGGTGTTTACATTATTGTTTTTGTGTTGGGCTCGAGACCTATGGACCTTCAAAGAGTTATTAAGACCATGACATTATTTTACTAACCAACCAGCAAGTATACCTTAGTCCTGTGCATTGTTTAGTTTAGGACTAAGGTGAACACTACTTGCTTGCATGTCTTAATAATTCAGATGTACACACAACACTTAAATACAAGTACACAAGGAATATTTAAGGTATGCATAACATGTTTGGAAATGATGCATCATACATACAGACTAGAATACACATATAGTATGTACACAGATTGGAATTTAATTTATTACATTAGATGTGTAATATGACGAGTGACGCACAATATCAATAATAAAGAAATTTATATAAAGCAGAAATCTACAGCTGCATGTTAATACGTACTGCATTAAATACATTTAACAAAAGACGTACATACTGTAATTGCTTGAAAAAGCCTATACAGTACTGCACTGTACAGTTGTACCCTGAAAATAGGACACAAATACATAGATTTCGTATTTACATGAAGGCTTGACTTAATTGTTAACTTTCTCTCGACGGTAAATATGACAATACATACTGTACACAGGTATACCAGCTGAAACATTAATGTACTAAAATTGGTGTCCAGTAATACAATTTCTTTACAATTTGCTAATCAGCATTGTTCTTGAGTAATGAATATTATATACAATATAAAAATGAGCATGTCAAAACAAACAAGAACTTCCTTGGTGGTGTGAAAAGTACCACGTTTCATTATTAACTTTCATTTCATAATTTCATTATTATTATAAGTGAGTGTCTGAAGAATAAAGTTAACATAGGATAATTCAGAATTTTTATATCACATTACCAAATTGTTTAGTTTTGCTAGTGACTGGACCCTAACCTAATTGTACTCTGGTATAAATAACAAAATACCTTACAGTGCACACCCTTGAGTTGAATAGCATTGCAACATGGGTGTGCTATGTAAGGATTCTCAGAGAAACTAGGAATTATGCAATTATGTTAAAGGTTCCTATATCATGTGACAATATTATGGCAAATAGCACCTCTATATGGTCTTATATTGGGGACAGGATGCCTATTAAGCTTTTCGATGTTGCCCTAACCGATGATTAATCATACCCTTGCTGCAACACACAAGTCGCCTGACTTTTGAGTACGAATTTATGTATCCAAATAGCTAGCCTTATTGAAGAATAGAACTCTGATTGACATTAGCTGTGAGTCACTGCTCTAAGCACTGTGCTACAAATTGTCTTGATTTCATTTTGTTAGTATACAGTATTAGAAATATAATTTAACATTTTCATCGCTGAACCTCTTCACAACTTGGATGACTTAGCTAAGGACTGAAATATTTTAAGTAATATTTTGTTGAATAATTCTACCTGCTTTAATTGTCAAATGAAGCCATCTCCATTTGTACACGAGAAATGTGAATGTGCACGTGTAAATAGCACACGTCATTGTTACTCATTATTTAGATTGTAGGCAATGTTTCACATCGGATTTGAAATTGTACATCATCATATGCTACAGTAAAAGGGAGAAACATACGAGGCTCCAATTCTTAACTGTTCACCACTGTTCATCCTTCAATAATTGAAGAACTGTTTGTAAACCGATTAGCAAGTTGTGTTCCAGGGAAAACTAATAGGGTAAGTCAATGCTTTATACATTGATAACACTGTTAACTGAAGATGAAGCATATTTAAAATATGAGGAACATCACATGGCTCTCTTGTTTTAAGCTAAACAAATTTTCTTATCTCAAAAGGTCATTAGACATCTTTGGGAGTTTTAAGGTTATGTATGTCCTGTAAAATGGTAGATGATTTTTATGGATTATTACCACCATGAATAATGTTATATTATCATTGTGTGAAACATGATACTTTGTCCATAGTCTTGTACAAAGGATATTGAAGGAAAAGCACAAATTATGTAGGAAGATATTTACATCGGTATATTGCATCAACAATATACATCGGTATATTTGTGTCTGACAGAAATGCCAGACACCTCTGCATTACTGTAAACATAAAGGGCCTACTAGATATCTATTTTTCTTTGGAAACATTTACAAAATTGTATTATTTAGGCCCATAAGTGCATATTACATGAATCCCAACATGTCCATGATCATTTAGTGCTAAATAAGTTAGATACATTGTGGCATATTTTGTGGAAATATGATGAGTGAATGGTGCGAGATCTGGCACTGGAACCTGCCAGTTAGCTATTGCCCCGCATGTGTTTGCTTTAGAGAGATTACTGACTACAGAGTAATCCTCCTCACATTACTGACTACTGAGTAATCCTCACATATTACTGACTACAGAATAATCCTCCTTACATATTGCTGACTACAGAGTAATCCTCCTCACATATTACTGACTACTGAGTAATCCTCCTCATATTACTGACTACTGAGTAATCCTCCTCACATATTACTGACTACAGAGTAATCCTCCTCACATATTACTGACTAGAGAGTAATTCTCCTCATATATTACTGACTACAGAGTAATCCTCCTCATATATTACTGACTAGAGAGTAATTTTCCTCATATATTACTGACTACAGAGTAATAATCCTCACATATTACTGACTACTGAGTAATTCTCCTTACATATTACTGACTACAGAGTAATCCTCCTCACATATTACTGACTACAGAGTAATCCTCCTCACATTACTGATTACTGAGTAATCCTCCTCACATTACTGACTACAGAGTAGTCCTCACATATTACTGAGTACAGAGTAATCCTCCTCACATATTACTGACTACAAAGTAATCCTCCTCACATACTACTGACTACAGAGTAATCCTCTTTACATATTACTGACTACAGAGTAATCCTCCTCACATATTACTGACTACAAAGTAATCCTCCTCACATAACTTGACTACAAAATAAATCTCACATTTCGGACAACAGAATAATCCTCCTCAAACGTTAATGACTACAGAGGAATCTTCGCCCACACATGATTGACTATAAAATAATAATTCTCACAGTATTGACTACAGAATAATCCTCATCACATAACTGACTACAGTGATCCTCCTAACATTAATGACTATAGAGCAATCCTCATTTTACTGAGTACAGAGTAATACTCCTCAATTTACTGACTACATAGTACGCCTCCTCATTTTACTGAGTAATCCTCCTCACACTACTGACTACAGAGTAATCCTCTACACACATACACAATTGGTACCATTCACTCTGACTTTACTGTTAATCTTGTATTCATTTACATACACTTTCAATGCCAGCATTGTTTGCAGTGTTTCTTTTTATTATTGCCTTTAGTCAAACTTTATTATTAGTAATATACGGTACTCTGTTACTTCAATAAGTCAACAGAAAACTCATTTACACAAATATTTTTGTTTCTACTTAGCCTGAAGATCCGTATAGGATTTGATTATAGGCGACACCACCTATGCAGAAACATAATTATAACAATTAAGTTAAACCAATCAAGCTTTCTCTCTATCAGTATATATTCACCTTCGTGTAAACATCTTACAGTCCCACTAAGTGTTCTCACCAGTATTTCTTGCATCTTACTGATCAGTTGAGTCATTTATTTTGTAATTATTTTATTTACAGGCCTTTTCCCACTCGTGAATGTATAAACTATATTTAGTACGTTGAATGTGTTCACTGTACATTGCAAAGATTGTTTGTGATGTGTGTATATGTATGTATTAACACGATGTACTGAACGGGGTGAGAATAGCTTGAGCTACCTCATCCCTTTGTGTGAATTTTACCTCAATAAACTAATTTCAGTTTCAATTTGCAAAGGTGGAGAGCTCACTGCTTCAGAGACGCTCACGGGAAGTTGGCAACTTACTCAATGATGGAACGCACATGTATAGGTGACAACCCTTTAACATGATGTACACCTGTTGCACGATGTACACGTGTATCACGATATAAACCTATAGTATGTACACCAGTAGCACAACACACACCTGTGATACGACGTACACACTAGAAATAACTTTCAACTGGAGGCTACACAAGGTGCTGTACAACGTTTCCCAGTGAGACGACGTAGTACATGTGGAGATATTACCCAGGCATACACCAGGGGGCAAGAGACGACGACGCCGCAAGGGGTTCACTTGGTGATTGCTCGAGCCGTACGTTGAATGAGCTTCTTGAGCAACTTGCCCCAGCGCCGCAGCAGTAATCGAACAGCACCGTGACCGTGGCTCAGGTCGCTCGACAGCTCCTCCAGCTGTCAGAACACAAGTTCAAGGTCAGTGCAACACCAGGGTAATATGTGCTCGACTAGAGATATTCCTGTAGCATGCATCGACCAACTGCAAGGATGCCCCGACCGACCTCAGTTCTATTGTGTTTTGGTTCCCCAACGTACAAAGAACTTTATGAAACTATACATGTTAGACTTATACCGGGTTCCTCCCTTCCTCAGGGTTGAAGTACTGACCCTTCCCAGGATGCAACCCGACAATAAGCTGACTAACTCCCGGGTTACCTATTTACTGCTCGGTGAACGAGGATATTAGGTGATTAGAAACGCGCCCAGCCATTCCTGTCTCGCTAGGGATTCGAACCCGAAATTCCAGATTGTGAGTCGAGAAGGAACCCGGCTGTAATACTGTAACTCCTGTAGCGGAGTTGTGCATATGTTTTGTACAATTATATGTATTAGCTATGATCAGTACAGTGTAATGTATATGTTACTACGTTGCTTTATTATTGCTGTACTTGGTGGAGCGAAAATATGTGTTTGAGATAAATTATTTAAGGTTTAGTAATGCCTGTATATATAGTAGTTTAACACCGCAAATAGAGAGAGTTAAGAAGCCTAGCATAGAAATCAATTAAACTTTATATCAACAGTAATGATACTGAACACTAATGAATTGTGAGAAAACATGGATGCACGAATTAGGTATTTATAATAAACGTCGGAATATTTTACTAGAAAAGGAGTCTGGCAGCATGTAATCAATAACCTTCATTAAATAGACCATTTCAATTAACTAATTTTAAGATGAAAATAGAAAAAATATTATAAAATGCATTATAAATAAATATTTATAAGAATAAATATAAAACCCAAAAATAAATTAGGTAATTCAATTTTGAATAACATTAACCATAATTTAAAGTTAATGTTTATACGCAGCCACAATGTTAAATTGACCTCCGAGAGCCTGAAAACCCTACTGCTGCCAGCTTCCTCAACTGTATGAATTCTCGCTTTAACAATAATAAGTAACTTCGAAAATGTTGACGTTAACAATAGAGGTAAAAAGAGACGAAAGGTTATTACCTTAGTCTGGACCTGTTGCCTGACCCACTCTGGAGGGTAGGCCTCGGGCTGGAGCAGTAGGGTGGTGGTGGAGATGGTCACATCTGACCTTAACCACAGCACCTTCACCCTGGCGTGTCTGGGAGGGGGAGAGTCAGGTCACCTTCACTCACACCTCACTAGTCTTATTATAGCAGTCTGCTTATGTGCATGTTATATGTACACACTTGTGTGCATATAACTGTGTTTATGACCGGCTCATTGTCTAATATTTATATGTCCGTTGATATCTAACTTTTTATTTCAATATTTTCATCAACACACACACATACATTAATATATATATATATATATATATATATATATATATATATATATATATATATATATATATATATATATATATATATATATAATATTTATATTCTCATTTGCTATATTCTTGTGCACATCTATTTTCTGTAGGGTTGATTAATGGTGCATATATGATTCTGTCATTCATTTACAGTTTAATGTGCGTATGATTGGCTGCCAATCTTATATTTTTACCAAGTATAAAAGAAATATTAAGAAAGTGCTTGAACACCTCTGTATATTAACTACACATGTCTTGCGAAGCAATATAAGGAAGTTATATATCTTTATACCTTGCTTAACAATTCCGATGCAAGTTCGTAGAAATTTGTAGAAATTAAAAAAAAATAACGATCATAAATGTTATTACAGTACAGTACTTCAAAAATCTTGACGCTTATTTGACAGTGAAATGTGGGAAGGTCAGTCCGTAGACCTAATAACACGTACTATAAATCCTGGGCTGTGTGCACTGCTGCTGCTGACTCCTACATTTTAGAGTTTGTTCTCACCCGTCTGTATATTCTTTATCTACAGTATATTATTGTTATTATATATCTATATAACCACCAGGGGCCAGATTCACGAAAGCACTTACGAACTTGTTCATCTTTCCTCAATCCTTGGCGGCTTTGGTTACATTTCATAACCAGTTTACAAGCATGAAAACCTCCCATTCAACTATTGTTTTTGTTATAAACAGCCTTCTGGTGCTTCGGAGCTCATTAACTGTTTAATAATTGGAAACAAAGCCGCCAAAGATTGAGAAAAGATGTACAGGTTCGTAAGTGCGTGCGTAAGTGCTTTCGTGAATCTGGCCCCAGTATATCTAGTGGTTATAGCACACAGTAACTTCTCATGAAGCCTACTCCCACCATCTTCAATTTCTAGTAGGCTTTGAATGTCCTCCATGCAGTTTTGAAACCTTTTCTAACGCCAAAGGTAAGTTTATTTTTTTCTTGCCCAGCTCAGTGCATTTCTCCTTCCTCACTTGATATGCCTCTAGTTCTCCTATCGTCGCTTTTATTTCTGCCATGGTAATTTCCTTAGCGGAGAAACTTAACAGTTAATTTAAAGTCTAGTTGAGGATAACAATGTTGTAAAATGTAAAAGCGTCCTTAATCGACTTCTTTTAGAAAAACTAATGGTCCCATAGAAAAGTAATTTGATGTGTTTAATATCCTTTGAATCGTTGTAATCTGACATGAATGGTGAAACTTTTTATTTAAGAACTTCCTTATAAAAGTATATATCATATGAACAAGGTAACCATTATTTGAAAAAAAATAAATCACCAAGAAATTAATTTCTTGATCAAAGAGGACCTATTTGAGCATAATACAAAAGCTGTATTCAACAGAGTATTAATTGCATTTTTCTTAAAAATATCCCAAATAAATGAATTGAAATTTAAACCTAAACCTGTGAACTTCAGTGTTGAAACCATTTTGGTTAATCATTTTAACATCAAGAAATGACAAAACCATTCAGCATAATGCGAAATGGATAATTCTTTGTCTTTTGGTTATTTATGGCAACTTTTGCATTTGCTTATAGTAGATTTTGGATACCTTAAAAGGAATGGTCTTAGGGGGGTAGAAATAGCCTAAGTTACTCTATTCCTTTGAGATGTATTTTTTATTCTTGTCTCAATAAACTTACTTGAACTTGAACTTAAAAGGAAATTATTCGTATATTGTACATAGAAACGACTGTCGTCATATTTAGTATCTTAATAAGAGAAGAAATAAATATTTATTAGGTTCAGACCTTTGTGTCCTGCGTCGGTGTGAGGGCGGGTGAGGGAGTGTGAGGTTGAGGCGGGTGGTGAGGAAGATGGTCGGGGCGGTGAGGTCCAAGTCTCCATTCTCCCTGAAGGTGAGGAACCCCCCGGCGCTGCCCCTCACCTGGTACTTGGCCCTCACTCTCACCTGCGTGAACGCCACCCTGACCACCCCCTCCGCCGTGGCCGGGGGTCGAGGCCTCTTCTTCTGCCCGCGAGGCCTCTTCTTGCTCCCCCGACCTCGTTTGACCTCGCGCTGTTCTTCAACTCCAGTAGACGACATCGTGGGTGACTCTTCGGCCTGTTCGATGTTCCAGTCACTGGGGAAGGCCTTGTGGTGCATGACGAGGTCATCTTTTAACCAGTCCCTGACCTGACCTGGTGTGTGGCGCCGGAACGCAGGTGGGAACTCGTCCTCCTCTGAGTCCGCTCCTTTAAAACTTACCTGGAAAAAGCAAAGTTTTCGCATCTCTTTGGCACTACATAGCCTTCCCGGCTCGGTGATTTCTTTGATAATTACTTACTTACTTTCGCGTCTCTTCACTAAACAAGTATGAAAATAAGATGATAATCGGCCAACAAATACACGACAGACCTTGAAGCACTTTCCAACTTGTTATTATTATTCTCGTATACTCTTTTTAAATGGCCAGATTGTTCGTGGGGGATTTCGACAAAGCTAATTTTTGATAATTGATGAAAACCGATATGTATTTCGTTAGATTCGGCTGTGTTCGCTTAGGTAAATCTGTATTCATTTAGGTTAGGCTTGGTTAATTTAGGTAAATGTGTGTTAGATTTGGTTAGGCTGTTAGTTTAAGTTAGGCTGTGTTAGCATAGGTAAATGTGTGTTAGCTTAAGTTAGTCTGTATTAGTTTAGGTAAGTCATTGTTAGTTTAGGTTAGGCTGTGTTAGTTTAAGTAAATCTGTGTTAGCTTAGGTTAGGCTGTATTAGCTTTAAGTTAGGCAGAGATAGCTTTGGTTAGCCAGTATTTGCCTAGGTTAGTCTTGTAAGCGTGTTTGTAAGATTAAACTGTTCCACCTTTATGTTTCAACTCATCTTTTTCGCTAATGAACTGTATAATGAATACATTTATAGGAATTGTTTGAATAAATTTTGCGAGCCTAACCGTGCTTTTGTTAAAATTCGGTCAGTTTAATACAGGCCTCGTCATAGCATATATATATAAAATAGTACATGTGCCTCTTTTTAACATATCTTTCAAGTTTGTGTTGGTGGTGGCTGGTAGTGGTGGTAGTGTAGGCTTACACTACCACCACTATCACCCGCCACCAAGATAACCAGGCCTGCCAACGCTATCAACCACCATCAGGTAGACCTGACACTAACGTCTTGACGGCTACCCCTTACACTTTAACTTCTTCATGACAAACCTCACTCTATAGCTTCTTAACGGGTGACCTCACACTCAAACCTCATGGTAGCTAAACTCACACTCTCACTTGTTGACGGGTGATCTCACACTTCCTTCCTGGGAGCTGTCCTCACAATCCACTTCCTCATATCACGCTCCAGTAATCAAATTACCAGGTAGCGACGTATGTAGATACAGGATTCCTTATTAATTATTCCTCCTGTCCATCTGCCTGTCTCTTGTCTGTATATCTGTATATCTGACTGTCTGTCTGACGGTCCCGCTGTCTGTCAGGTAGCTTGTAACTGGGCTAGTGATAGTATTTCAAGTCATTTAATAAAATGTAATATATATTCCCATGAAATTAGTTTTTGGTGATTTAAATAGTGGAAGGAGTATTTTGTGTGGTTGGAGGTGCATTAGTCTCTGAGTAGGGTTGATGGCGCTGCTTGTGGGTTCCACTTGGATGGGTGTTCGTATGTTTGGTCAATAATTAAGAGCAAGTCTGAAGTTGGAAAGCGACGCATACGCTCCTCTCACAATGTTCTTTATGTGTTCCTCTGGCCACAGCTTACTATCCAAAACAACCCCTAGGTCTCGTTCTTTATTAGAGTACTGTAATTCCTTTCACCTTAATTTGTAAGTTGTGTGTGGTCTGTTTTCTCCAATTCCAGATTCCATAACATTGCATTTATTCACATTGAATTCCATTTGCCACTTTACGCTCCAAGCACTTATTTTGTCTAGATCGATTTGAAGTTCATTACAATCGCCTGCGTCTCCTATCTTTCCCAGTATCTTAGCATCATCTGCATACATGTTCGAATAATTCTGTATTCCTTCTGGTAGGTCGTTAATGTATACATTACTGATGCAAGAACTGAACCCTGTGGTACTCCGTTAGTAACACTCCTCCAGTCCGATACATTGTCTCGGATTATTGCCCTCATCTGCTTGTCTGTTAGACACTTTTTCATCCATGTCAGAAGTAAAAAAAAGTACACTATACTTTTAGCCTTCTGTCGAAGTATCCCTAAGGTTCAACTATCGACCCTGACCCAGGATTCAGTTCCACCAGCCAGTAGTTATATACCTAACTACCGGAATACCTATTTACTAAACAGAGGCATTAAGTGAAAGGATTCATTCCCAACCACTTCTGTCCCGACTGGGAATCGAACCCAGGAACTCGATTGCGAATCGAGAACGAATCCGACTGTACCACGAGACCTTACGTTTAACCCAAAAATACCCAACTTACGGAACTATTCACGTTACCCACCATGAGAGTAAGAACACGACCGGAACGTGAAGATGCCAACATAAAAGACACTGCTCAACACGCCACGCCCACTACACCTGGATGAACAACCCAGCGGGTTTTCTTCCTATTGGGGAGTGTTGTACATTCTGCTATGGCGGTGTGTCCACTCACAAGATGAGTGGCGCTGCCAAATAAACTCGCCCCTCGGGTCAAAATTTAAAAAAATTAAAAACCCTGATGTGTGTGTGTGTGTGTGTGTGTGTGTGTGTGTGTGTGTGTGTGTGTGTGTGTGTGTGTGTGCGTGTGTGCGTGTTTAATATGCAGTTCATTACTGGAATCGGTAGATTAAGTCAATATTGACTATCTACGGTTTACACTGAAGAATTGCATATCAAACATGTACACATTTTCAGTAATAATAAAACAATGGAACTAAATATCATATCTACGCAAATTACAGAAAAAACTCATTACTTATTACTGGAGTTTTCAAACGGGTTAATTAAAAATCAAAGAGTTTCCAAATAAAAAAAAATAGCATCTGGCAACGCCTTCCAGATCCTTACCAGACACGTTCACCCGCTGTAACCATCGGGAAGCTCTTATGTAATGGTGAGGGTTATTACAGCCCTGTAATGACGAGGGTCATTACGATGACCTATATGTAGTTTGTGTTTATTAGAGGTATGAGACTCGACCCAAAAGATTATCGTAATAACACCCGAAATTTAATTTTGTGGTGAGATGGCGCACGCTGGCAATAGCAGCCGGCATGGAAAACATTCCCGTTATGATCGAAAGAATTAATTATTTTTATATTATTATTATTATTATTATTATTGGGAAAGTTAGTTGGAGCCATGAGGCGGATTCGAAGTGGCTTAAGGCGTGTGCTTAAATTGGGAGTCCCCAGGGTTCGAATCCTCTTCATGGCTCCAACGGATTTTGTTACTCATTCATCCCGTTAATATGATTTATTTGTGCATTATTATTATTATTATTATTATTATTATTATTATTATTATTATTATTATTATTTCATTATTGTTTTTATTAATGTTGATGCAATTTTAATTATATTACATATGTTTTTATGTGCAATGTTTAAATGAATGTGTAGACTGAGTATAAAAAGCTGAGTACGTATAATTGTGTATAATATAATACGTATAATAATTCTTTCTGAGAGTAAACAGTGAGTGGCTCACCTCCTGTACTGAGAGGGAGTTGAGGCCCTCGAGGGTGACCTCATCCAAGAGGAGCCTCAGCCTCAACAGGTCGCCCTCGTGTAGATACTTGAGGGTAGAGGCTGAGTGCAAGGGGTCGAGGGGCTGGGCCAGGCCGAGCCGGGGCTGTGGCAGGTGGGCCGATTGGGCCAGGGCGGCCAGCCTCGACCACACCTTCTCGGCCAATTGGTGGGTGAGTGGGTGGCCAGGCCGGGCTGATGCTCCTTGTAGGTCGTCCTCCAGGGCGGGTGACCTGGGCTCGTCCTCCGTCAGAGGCCATGGGTAGTCGCTCTCAGGCCCAGCCACGTGATCTGAAAGGTGGTAGCTACAGTTGACCTGCAGGTTGGGGTCACAAAAGTTTAGGATTGTCATGGATCTTCATCCATGAAGAGTTGAGAGGAGGCTTTTGGTGACCTCTGGGCTGTCTTGAATGGCTAGGTGAGGGCAATGATTAGAGTGACCTAGAGGGTTTTAGAAGAGGCTTTTAGGGTATTTTGGTGTAATATGAGGTCAAGTGGTCTAAGGGTGACATTGTGGTGTGTTGTGACCCGGGAGACCTTATGACTTTGTTGAGTCAGTATACACGCACTTGTGGCTACAACAACAACAACAATACATGTAAAACAGCCGCAACACCATCCCTACAACACCCCCTGTGACCCCAGGTGGGTGGACCCCACAACACCCCCTGTGACCCCAGGTGGGTGGACCCCACAACACCCCCTGTGACCCCAGGTGGGTGGACCCCACAACACCCCCTGTGACCCCAGGTGGTGGACCCCACAACACCCCCTGTGACCCCAGGTGGTGGACCCCACAACACCCCCTGTGACCCCAGGTGGGTGGACCCCACAACACCCCCTGTGACCCCAGGTGGGTGGACCCCACAACACCCCCTGTGACCCCAGGTGGGTGGACCCCACAACACCCACCTGTGACCCCAGGTGGGTGGACCCCACAACACCCCCTGTGACCCCAGGTGGGTGGACCCCACAACACCC